TTTAATCCTAACTCGTATAGCCAGTTATCAATTTCGATGGCTTTATTGACCAACCCCTAATATGTGTCAGGCCTCTCCGGTTCTAACTCCTTTTTGATGTTGTCCTTTAAGCCAGTGTAGAAGGCAGTGGTAAGTACATTGTTGTCTCAGTCCAGTTTAGCCTGAAGCCTCTTAAACAGGGCATAGTACTGCGCAGCTAACCCTTTCTGCTTGAGTTGATAGATTCATTGGGCCGCGGCCTGTTTCTCCCCTGGAGTTCTAAACATTTGCTTGAGTCGTTCCATAAATGTCACGAAGTTAGAGAAAATAGTAATGGTTTTCAGGTCCTTTTATCCTTCAAGAGACATTATATAGTTCATCATAATAGGTTTAAATCAATGAAAGGCTGATCCCCTTATATAAAGTCCCGCGAATAAGACCTTATCTTCATAGGTGATATATCTGGTGCGGTTTAATTTGAAAGTCACGATAAGTTAGGTGATAAACAGTCTTAACTTTTCACGAGATCCATAGAACACGTTAACCTTAGTATCGTCCTTGCCGTGATTGCTATAGTTACTATAGTTAGAGATGACAGTGAAGGTGGGTCCTGATGTGGGTACGCCCGGCGCGGCGAACTAAACCGACCTAGTAGGGGATGGTGAGCGGATAGAAGCTTTAGAGCTAGACATCGTGTTGAATACTTCTAATTAAGTGATAGTCAAAGTGTTACGTTTCGCTCCACCCAAGGTGTCACTGCACATATCGTTCCTTAATAAGTGAGAAGTATAGGAGACGAGGTCACTAAGAACGAAGTACTTGAGCGAGTACTAGAGTGAAGTGATCATAGTCCAAAATGTATGGGTATGATCGTGAACGAAGTTGACTACGTGGTAAAGCTATGAAACGACTGTGTATATATATCCATCACTGCTCAGTCCCGCTCAGTGATGCTCAGGCCGAGCACACTGAGCACATCTGAGCATTCTCGAGTGGTGCTTAGCGGTGCTCAGCGTCCCCAGGGCTGAGCCGGCTAAGCGTATCACGTGATCCGTGCCGTGGTTCTTCACACGTGATTTCCCGGTATAGCTTCCTCTCTTGTCCTGGCTGTCGTTATAGCTTTGTATGCGGCCTGCTCGCAGACCGATTCGTAACACTAAAAAGGAATTCTTTAAAAATACACCTAAAAATAAGATCGAAGAATACACAGAAAAACGAAAATCCGACTCTGAACGAGCTAGCGTAATTATTTGGCTTAATATTAGTGATTCATCATTAATTTAAACAGCTAATATTGCTGATAACAATGCCGAGGCTCTCTATAATCGACTAAAGACGCTATATAGCCCTAAAGGATTCAGCACAGAATTTATAATAGCTAAACAGCTATTTGAAACGACTCTCGCGAGGTGTTCTAATTTAATCGAGGCCTATTTAGCTAAAATTCGGGGATATACTGATGAATTAGCTATATAAAATAAGCCTATTCTAAAGGCTATTATAGCGATATTCATACTAAATAATCTTTCGAGTAAATATAGCCCTATTATTGCGGCTATAATAACAAAATATCGCGACAATAATGATAACGATAATATAGATCTCGATGATCTATTCAATGCGATTATTGACGAATCAAGGCGTCTAAAGAACCAGGAACCCAAGGAGACAGCAATGATTGTCAAAACTAGTTCAAGGAGGACTAAGCGCGCTGTTAAGTGCTATTCTTGTCGCCAATTAGGGCATTTCGCGAATAAATGCCCTAATAAGCCTAGAGAGGCTAAAAATGATGAAGAATCAGCTGGGATCGCTCTATAAAGAATCTTAAGGCTATGCTGAAAAAGGTAATAATCGAGGTTTATCGACTTAAAAACAAAAGGCAATGATCGAGGTTTATCGATATATTGCGAGGCGATAGTCGAGGTTTATCGACTTAAAAACAAAAGGCAATAATCGAGGTTTATCGATATATTATGAGGTGATAGTCGAGGTTTATCGACTTAAAAACAAAAGACAATAATCGAGGTTTATCGATATATT